TAAAATTCCATCATTCAAATTTCGCTAAAAAACGAATTGATTCAATTTTTCAAAGCAAATTAACAAAATTTATTTTAAAGAAATCTTAAAAAATTAGTTTTTTATTTCATTAATGTTTTTATATTTTAATTATTATGGGTCTAATTGAGTAAAAAAAATTGTGAAAAAAAAGTATTTCTTTTATTATCTTTCGAGATATTTGCATTAAAAAATTAGTGCAACTTTTTTTCAATTACTCATAACTTTTTCACTTTTAGTCCTAGAAAAAAGTTTCCTAAACGTTTTTTGCTCAAAAAATATTGAAGTTTAAGAAAAAAAATAATTTTGAAAAATTAAAATTTTTTAATTTATTTATTTATTGAAAAAATAAAATTTGTTTTTAATTTGTAAACTTATTATCGGGCTCCGTTTACTTAGCGGTGGTTTCCTACCTTCTCGGCACTGTATTTTTTAGTCTTTCTCTAAATAATATTTTATAATTAATTTTCGATTTTAAGGTCGTTTTTAGTAATACTTAATATTCTTTTTTTGACACAGAATTAGATGACCTTTCAAATAGACCCATAACGTCAACCAAAAAACGTAGTATAGAAGGAAACGGAGGATAGACCCCTCAATCTCACGTGGAATTGGTCATATATTTTACATAATAATTAACACGCAATTTTAGATGGTTAAAAGTACCGAATTGGATCAAATTGATCCCAATATTTGAATCAAATTATATTTTGATCCAAATATTGGAATCAATTCGTTGCAATTCAATACTTTCAAATTAACAGTGAGGTTAATCGATTCATTTCAATGCAAGAAATAAGGTTGGGGTTTTGAGCATTTTCATGGACCTATACTACAAATTAAAAGTCAGTACATCATATGAAAGTAGATTAAAAATATTTAATATTAACCTGTCAAAATAACCTTTTTCCCGTGCAACTCAATTTTAAAATTCAAATTTTCAGATAAATAAATAAAATTTTTGTAAAATAATTGTCAAAAATTAGTTATACGGATATCAAATTTTATTTTTAGGAATTATAAGATTTTTCTAAGAAAAGGTCACAACGACCCACACAGCACCGAAAGTTTCCTAAACCTGTATTAAAGCTGTGCGTGCCAAGTTGGAAAAATTTACCGTAAAGCTTAGCACAGTTTGTGTAAATATGTAAATGTCCGCAATTGAGTAAATGTTTAGCGCAAAACTGTACTGAATCTTTAAATTACATATTTGGTACAGGTTTAGCGTAAAACTGTACTGAATCTTTAAATTACATATTTGGTACAGGTTTAGCGTAAAAGTTGCCTGAACATTTAAAATAAATCTTTTGTAAAGTTTTATCATAAAATTTGCTTAAAAATTAAAATTAAATCTTTATTACAGTTTTAGTGTAGAAATTGTCTATAAATAATAACAATTAATAACAATAATAACAATCTATAACAATTATACAAACAAATTTAAATTTGTTTGTATAATTGTTTTGGAAAATGCAAAATTTTAATAAATATATTTGTGTACACTGTATTTGAAGTTTCATTTAATTATACCTTTTCTAATTAGTTATTTTTTTGTTTATTTCAATTGTCTGCATCATTTACAGTTAACAATTTCTCAATATCAAAAATTTAACGAAAATGTAATGAACACTTTTGTAGTTTAATTTCGCACTAAATATTTAATAAAGCTTTAATTTAAATTTATAGACAATTTCTACACTAAAACTGTAATAAAGATTTAATTTTAATTTTTAAGCAAATTTTATGATAAAACTTTACAAAAGATTTATTTTAAATGTTCAGGCAACTTTTACGCTAAACCTGTACCAAATATGTAATTTAAAGATTCAGTACAGTTTTACGCTAAACCTGTACCAAATATGTAATTTAAAGATTCAGTACAGTTTTGCGCTAAACCTGTACTAAATATGTAATTTAAAGATTCAGTACAGTTTTACGCTAAACCTGTACTAAATACGTAATTTAAAGATTCAGTACAGTTTTACGCTAAACATTTACTCAATTGCGGACATTTACATATTTACACAACCTGTGCTAAGCTTTACGGTAAATTTTTCCAACTTGGCACGCACAGCTTTAATACAGGTTTAGGAAACTTTCGGTGCTGTGTGGGGACTTTGGATGAAATATAATGGATTGATATATAAAATAAATAAGAAATGTGTATTCTTTTATTTGATAAAAATGAAGGAAGTTATGATTTTTTAAAATTTAACGTCATCAAAGGCAGTGTATTTTTGAAAGTATCGGCGATATGTAAAATAATGTTTTTATTAAATCCGGAAATGCTGGGGCAAGAATTTCCGAAACGGCCTATAGAGTGAGTGCTCCTTATACTATTTCATGCCTATAACGGAAGCAATAAAAAAGTTGAAATTAAATTTAAAAAGTGAGTTTTCTTAAAGATGCACACTTTAGATTTTTATTTTTTTTGCACTGCAGTCTCAGGGTGTCTAACAAGGATTGAGAAAAAAATTCCCTGACTTTTCCCTGAATCCTCCCTGATATTTTTTGATTTTTGCCTGACCTTTTAATAACCTTATTTCTGCTTTTTTTGGACAAAAATATGGTTACTGACATATTTAACAATAAATTAATTTCTAATGGTAGTAACAAATGGTAATAAAAACCATTCAAGTTTTATTAGATTAACAAATTTTTAAATTTCCAAAAAAATTTAATTTTTGTAGAAATTTACAGAAATTTTCCTGACTTTGAATGAAATTTTCTGAAATTCCCTGACATTTCCCTGACCAACAAAATTCCCTGACTTTTCTCTGACTTTCCGAGTCAGAGCGTTAGACACCCTGAGTCTCTAATGACTGAAGAATTTTTCCCCTATCTGCGCAAAAGTGGTGTTTTTAGTTTTTAAATTACTATTTTTTAGTTTTATCATACATTTGTTTTTTTAATTTTCAAAAATACGTACATTAAATCTTTGCGTCCAGCTTAAAAATTGTAAATATTAATTTAAAAACTAAAAACACCCCTTTTACAGACAGGGAATCAAAGATTGCAGTGCAAAAAAAAATTAAAAACCTAAAGTGTCCTTCTTTGAGAAAACTCACTATTTAATTTAATTTCAACTCTTTCAACTTTTTTGTTGCTTCTGTTATAGGTAGGTACGTTATTTTTGTGCACATATTTGAAAAATTTGAGAAAAAGTGAACAAATTTTATATACAGCATAATTTGTTATTCATTAGAACAATAGATAAAAAAAAATTTCAAAAATACACTGCCTTTGATGACGTTAAATTTTTAAAAATAATTTAACTTTTTTCATTTTTATCAAATAAAAAAATACGTATTTTCTTTATTTTTCATATAGATTTCGAAAAAAAATTTCCCGTGGAATGCCCCATACCTATATATGTGTGTGTAAGTGTGTTAAAGATAAGGAATATTAAGTAACAAAACGATGGTTTGAATCAGTAACAGTATTGCATGTAAATATGACACATACACAATGCAACAATACATCCTAATTCGCATTCCATATACGAAATAAGTTTATCACTTTTATGTAGTTTCTTTGTATAAAAAAGAAAAAAATGTTTTTTTGTTTTTTTTTAAATTATGAACAATACGTCAAAAATGTAAACAGAAAAACCCTTAAGGGTATGTGGGAACCTCCCACGTGACATACTATGGGAAAATGTGTTTTGGTAGTATACATTTCACTCTAAAATGAGAAAAGATTTCTGTCTAAAATTTTGAGGGATGATAGATTAGGGTACAAGGAATCTCGCTGTTCTCCGAAAAATACATAATTTTGAGTTAAATTATTAAAAAATGATGTTTAAAAAGTTTAATTTTTAAACGAAAATGAAAAGAAACATGGCGTCGCATACACAGTCGTTGCTTGAGTGTCAGTGCTCCAGTAAACAGCGCCAATTTGAGCGAGTGGCCGCTGAATGAACTATGATAAAACACATTATTTTCCCAAGAAGCACGTAATATAACCTCAATATCAAGGTAATATTACATGTAAGATTCGTAATATAACGTTGTAATATTACAGTAATCTTACAGTGATCTTAAAATACCCGCCTCAAGGTAATATTACCGGTAATGTTACTGTAATATTACGCGCTAATATTAAGGTAATATTACAGTAATATTGCAGTAATATTATACCGTAATATTAAGGTGATATTACAAGAGAATATTACAGTAATATTATGGGAACATTTCTTTACGAAAAAATCTACCCATCCAGGGAATCGAACCCCGAACTCAAAGCACACGAGTCCAGAGTTTTACCAACAAGCCAAATTGACTTATAATATATTTACGTTTTTTATGCTTTATGAATAACTCAAATCAGTCTGTAATATTACTGTAATATTACTGTAATATTACTGTTAATATTACAGTAATATTCCCGGTAATATTACCTTGAGGCGGACATTTTAAGATCACTGTAAGATTACTGTAATATTACAGCGTTATATTACGAATCTCACGTGTAATATTACCTTGATATTAAGGATATATGAGTCGCCGGAAAGTAAAACCACACATAAAATTTTGACTCCCATTGAATTAACATGGCCGTCAGAATTTTATGTGTGGTTTTACTTTCCGGCGACTCATATTACGTGCTTCTTGGGTTACTATTTATCGTTTTATTTTTATTATTTTCGCGTTAAGTTATAGTAAATGAGAAGAATAGCGAGATTTCTTGTACCAAACTAAATTATTTTTCCAAAATTTTAACCCGAAATCATTTTTTATTTCAGAGAAAGTTTCAAACCACAAAAAATGTCCTTTGCCCACATACCCTTAAACTGAAATTAAGAATATATTCTTAATGCGAAATTAAATTGATTGAAATATAGGACATCAGGAGAAAGAGGAGAGAGGGATGGAAATCTAACGATATTATCGGTGATATGTCTTTCGATTGGTGCATGATTGATAAACCGGTTTCTCAACTTTAGTATTTAAAGTAAAAACAAGATAGACATAAAACCATACCTTATCTTTTTGCTTCTTGATGGGACTAGGTCGTTGGTCTATATGTTCCATATCGGGAATCGTATCAGGCTCGTAACTCATAGTGTGGCGTTTACTTGGTTCTGAACCATAGGGTTCTAATTGCTTTGAACCACCTAAAGCTGAGCAAAAGGGTCACATTATATTAATACTGAAATTTAAAAGTATTCAGTACTTTAACATATCATAAAAAATTTCTTAAACAGGGTGGCCACTAAAACTGAAAAAAAGTTCCTGGCTACTTCCCGGTTAGTGTTCAATAACTTTTAGTTTTTACTATAAAGTATATTATGTATTAATTTATTGATCTTATTGATAATTTTAGTTGTTTCAATTATTTTAAATCTGCTGATACTTATATATAACAATACATATATAATTTCAAGAAAAAGTTGTAAATTAAAGAGATTTACGATTGTTTTAATTTTTATAAAATAAGTGTGTCAGTCCATTAACATTTTGTCTGAGGACTGTTTAATGTTCCTTAAATGCTATTTTAATCAAAAGTAAAACGTTCATGCTATTTCGTAACCTGAATTTTTTAATTCATTTACTGTAACTTACCAAAAAGATAAGTTTCTCAATTCTGTACGTAGAAATAATTAAATACAAGCACACATAATAAAAGAATAAAAGAAATTTTAACTTAGTAAATTTTTTGGAATTTTTTCAAGTTCATTCAAATTTGATGTATTTATTAAGTTCAAGTCCTACAATAATTAACCTTTAAAAAATTGAGAAATTTAATATCTTCAAAAAATTATATATTTCAAGTCTTAATAACAAATTATTAAAAAAGTTTTAAAATTGTTCCAAGTAAATATAATTAATTTTAATTATTATTTCAAAGTAATATTATTAATAATAAATAAATTGTTTCCACGTAAACATTCCCACAACAGACTTTAGACGAAAGTCAATGAACTGACCGTTCTTAAATGTTAATAAAATCCCGGCTTTTTCCCAGTCAACAAAATTCCAGGCTAATTTCTGGTTTTCCCGGTCAGAGGTGACCCTGTTAAATTACGACATTAACTATCAGAGCCCCACGCATGTTTCCTATAGGTTTGTTTTACACTACCGTGTTCTCTTAACAGAAAGTGACGCGCCGAATCAATATGCCAGGGTGTTCAAAAAGTATGGAAACTTGCAAATATCTCGAAAAGTACGCATTTTCGTGAAAAATATTCAACACAAAAGTTCTTCCTAAGAAAAAGATGTATATTTTTGAACCCAAAGAATTGGTCCCGGGACCCAACAGTGAAAAAATAAGTATCACGAAAATGCGTACTTTTCGAGATACTTGCAGGTTTCTGTACTTTTTGATCACCATGTATTTCGGTACACTTTCTACGGCAACGAAAACGAACCTTTTGATTGTCACAATGGTATTCTAAATACGTCATATATCAGAGACTTTATCTTTATAGTTTAATAACATAGTAAAAAATATATCACGCTGGACCATTTACTTAAAACACTAAAAATTTTCAATTTTTTTCCAATTTTAAAATAAGTAAAAATTACATTTTCAGTATTCAGTCAAATTTTAAAATTTAAATAGATAAGCAAAATTAAGGTCAGCCATAAGAGCGTGATTTTAACAGCTTTTATTTTGTAATTTAAAATAAGAAAAACCAATTTATACCATCCATGCTACGTGATGTGATTCTTCGACCACTAAGAAATCTTTCAAACTTCGGGGGCTGTCTGTCAATAGGCACCTTTTTTGTTTCGTAGTGGGTTCTGCCCGAAAATCGAAAATTTGACCCCAAATGTGGTATCAGTCCCACCTTCTTTACAGGCTCTGGGCTGGTGAGCCTGCATGAAACATCATCATTACAATAGTTTAACAAAAGATTTCATTTTTTTTATAATTTATTAAAAATATTATGGTAAATATTTTATATATTATCTTATTTATATTATTATCAAGCGTTTACCATCATAAAATGCAGTCGTCTTATAAAATTCTTAATTATCGACGAATATAATAAAAAATTAAATATTATAAATATTATTTCACATATCTTACCTAAAGAAAGTATGGTGTTCGACACAAACTTTCCATAATTTTTTAGCTGCTCTATGATTTGCAAGCTTGAAACCAATAGTCGATTCAAATTGCTCAAATTCTCCAGGTCGAATTTTCAGATAAAAGTTGTGTCTTTTATAGGAAATTTTGAGAATTTTGGGCCAAGCAAACCTATTTATTCGCAATTTATCTCTGAAGACGAGAAGACCTGATGAACAAACACCTAGCATAATATCGACACCTTCGGAATCCTTTGCAGGATGCAAATCAACACCATACATTGCTAATTTTTTCGCATTTTCCAAGTAATGGAGTTCTGCTTCCGCTGGTGTTTGACCCCTGAATATATATACACAGAAAGAAAATAAATATCAAATTTTATAAAAATATTTTCAAATCATGGAAAATATGGTAAAAAGCGTAATTTTTTATATACAAGAAATACTAGTCTGTAAAAAAACTTAAATAAAATTTACAACAGTTATATTAAAATTTGGTGAAATGTATTTGACTAAATTATGATGATCTAAAGTTTAGAATTTCTTATATGAAAATTTTGCTTTTTACTATATTTGATATTTATTTTCTTTCCGTGTATGTTTGTATAAGATGAATATAAATATGAGCATTTTTTTCTTATTGTTAGTTAAAAAAGCAGAAGAAGTAAAAATATGCATGTCAACTTGAAAATGAAATAATGCCTACTTGTGAGTTTTATGAAGATCCATTACTTTTTCAACCAGCTCTGGTGTTTGTTTGGGAGCAAACTTAAAATCTTTTAGATATGATCTTCCATGTTCTTCAAGGTCATAATCTCCCAATTCTGATTGTACTAAATAAGACCCGAGAAGAGCGTGAGTAACAAAGGAACATGGCAAGCGACCAGTCATAATGTCATTTCTGATTTGAAGACATAATTGATAACGCGTGATATCTTCTTGCAACTGTGCTGGATCCGGCGGATAAAACTTAACTTCAAAATTAAACTTCCAAGGATCATCTGTAATAAAATTAGAAAAAATATGAAATTATAATTAAAAGATCGAAAAGTGATTCGGCGCAGGTAAATTAATGAATTTTAAAAATTAAGTTAATATAAAACCTGAATTGACATGTATCCCAAAACCTATGATAAATTAAAGTAGACAGTTAAATGTAAATGTTTAATTTTACGTAATTGGAATACTTTGTTCAAATAAAATTGCTTATAAAAAAATGATTACCATTACATTTATTTATTAAACTAGTAATGTAAGTTGTTCGCCATATAAGTCAACATGGTCAGGTAATTTTATGAAGGTTAACTTTTTAAAAACCTTTAATTAACCCTCTTAATTAATTTGAATAAGATATTCACTGTAATGTATAAAGTAAGTCTAAATATTCAAGTATGATTTATACTTTTTATGGATTAATTGGAAATTAATATTATTGTGTGTTAGAAGAGTTTGGTATGTACTTTTTAGAAATTTGGAAATTCTCCGGTCTAGGTCCAGCCAATTTCTTGGATCGTGTTTATCTTCGTAAATGAGACCAAAGTAATCTTTTTCTAAGAGGTTCATACTCTGACATATCTTATCCAAAAGCTCTTGGCCTTTTGCTTTCCTCTGAAAAAATGTAAATAATACAATTCTTAAACTGTTACGCTTCTTTTTTACATATTTAAATAACCCTTGTATTTTATAGTCTCAGAAAAAAATTTTTTGTTGTATTACTTCAATTGAAAAGTCTTTGACAGTGCCATCCAAGAAAGTGATTTTCGTTACAGCCATTTTTCCTCTGTTAACGGGACTTTTATTGGGCGAACTACTCCCTGTTCCATTTTCTGTAGTCACTTCTACTGTTCCGCTACTTGTTTTTCGTTCCTCGGGCATCTTTCAGCTATTACACTAAAACAAATAAATATTAGTATTACTCTGCCGTCCTGGAGTTCAAGTAAAACTAATATATTTAAAGAAATGTCTTTTTAATTAGTGCCATAAAAATACATATCAACTTTTCGAAACAGTAATATTCGTATGTAACGGTCTATTCATTAGCGTCAAAACATTTTTAACATTTTATTTCTCATTAAATAAGCATTTTGTTTAAAATATATGAGTTTTTTAATACAGAATACCAATATTTAAATTAACAAATTGCAACATAAGGAAAATACTCGCGGAAAGCTTACAGCAACCTTTCTATGCAAGATTGACAAATTTGCAAACTGCTATGTAATGTTGCAATTAGTACTATAGTACTTTATTTGCATGGTTCATGTTGATGATCTAATGCCTTCGCCGTGAATGCTATGATGACGTTACTTCAATATAGTATGTACTATGTTTCAGGAAGTTTCGACTTAAACCTCTATATACATTTCGCCTTTAGTTTTACAATGTTTTTATTTCAATATATGTAAGTAAGAGAAAGTAATGATAAACAACCTGTACTTATTAGTGAATATTCAAAATGCAATACATTTTTAAGACAGCTAAATTCAGCACATGCGCATGTAAATAATCAAGTATTAAATTGCAGTAATTAATAAATTCTTTTGCTTAGGAAGCATTTTAACCTTTGAAATCTTTAAAAACACAGAGATTAAACTTTTTAATTCTAAAATTTTCTTTTCTTTGACACGCCTTTCAGAAGCGACTCGGGTACTCTTATTCTTGTGTCAAAGGGCAAATTGTCAATGAGGGTCACATATTTACCACACGCCCACATTGAATATGAAAAAGACTAATAAAACGTATCTATGTGAATCTTCTTCAAACATAAAATTGCAATTTTGTGTACTGAAACAATTATTCAAGAAGGAAAGAAAATTCATTTTCTTTTTTATACCAAAAAAAGAACATTTTTTAAGGGAAAGAGTTTATGTATTACACCCAAGTACATTTGATAATTGTTTGGTCGATAGTCAGATAAAGTATTGCTGAATGTTGTAGATAAATTATCTAAGTTTTTAATTGTTATACATTTGATTTACTTCTGATGTGAAGTAAACCTAAACCTAATCTTTGCTCTAAAAATTAAATTGTGGAATGATATACATATATTTATTTAAAATTATATAACTAATTATTTATAGTTTCGAATTCAATCTTACTTTTTGAGTAAATTGCTTCATTCAAAAATGAACCTGTTAGTATTCTTTTTTTTATATTAAATTAATACGAATGTGCTCTATCTTCCCCTACTCCAAGTATCACATCGATCTGAGGTATTGACTTGGGAAATCACATACGTTAAAGAACGCCCAAATGTTATAGTTATTATTCATGCAAACTTGACGATTGACATATTATTAACTTTTCAGTAAATAATCACTTTTAGTCTTTTTCACATAGTCGCCTCATCTATAATAATATAATCATTCTCCAAGAATATCTTGAATAGATTGCATACAATCACGATTCCGGCACACCTACTTTTCATGCATGAGCCTTCAGTCAATACGCACACATTTACAGAGTTGTAAAGGTGCAATTAGGTAGGTATGTTTTCCATGTTTAGATAATAATGTCACAGTAAATTTCATCTTCTTATAAGTGCCATAACTTTACTTTTCCCATTATTATCAATCATTATGTTTACTGTTCAATAATGGTTCAAATTTTTAAATAGTCCAGAAAATATAATAAACAAACATTTATTCGATTCATTCCCTAAAGTTTCGCTTTCAAATCGTCAAGTATAAAATAAAAACTAGGTAATTAAGTACAATATTATGAAATTAAAATTACATATTGGTTACTTGAATTCAGAAATTCTACATACAATAACGAATTGTTTTAATATTGAATTCTTGTCATAATTATAACCATGTTGATATCACTCAAACTTTCTATTTCATCCATACAATGTGTTATAAACATTGTTAATAGTGTTATGAATTTTGTTCCCATCATAAATTTACTTGCATTTTCAAATGTTTAGTATGTAATAAACTCAATTTATTGTATAACTGTATTTTTTATAAAAATTAAACATTAAGTTTTATTTGGTACAATTTTGACAGTTTTTAGTAACATCAAAATGTTCCTAAAAACTTAATAAGTTTCAAAATAAACCCTACACATGACTATAAAACAATTTTTGTAGACTTATACTGCTTACTTAATCTCTGACAATAATAAAGAAAAATAACAAAAAATTAACCACCCTCAAGCCTTTTGTCACTTTCCGACAACTGTCTAAGTTTGTAGTGGTATTGGATTCGGGTGTGTTATCTTTGACACAAATTTTTTTAATATATCTTAGCTTTACCTCAATTATTTTTTTGTCGTTAAAACTTACCTGCTTACACCGGTAATGATAAATCTATTAACAAAACAATAACTGAAGAAATTCCAATCAAAATTATGTAAAAAAAAAACACTATTCACAAAAGCACTACGTATTTTCTTTTTAGTAAATGGGCAGGGCAATGTAAACCGTAAACAACGTTCCAATTCCACCGACAGTGACGCTCACTTAGTCACTACACAGATCTCCAGAAATTCATCATAAAGTAGAACATCGGAAATGTGGAACGTCTATTGGGTGGAACATCCCCACTTTTACGTTTCACAACTGGCATACTTTAAAGGAGATTCCACAACAAGTTACTTTGATTCTGTTCTGCATTTGCATGTTATATATATATATATAATTTTAACATTATAATATATTTATAACACAGGAAGGTAATATTTCATTTAGATTCTTATAATTACTGATCGGCACATTGCGCGAGCAACAATCAATTCACATGAAATGTAAAGCAGAAGCAAAATAAGTATATCTACAAATGCAAGTTGTTGTGGAACCACCTTCATACCATCGTCAGTAAAAATTTTGCTGGCGGGTTTCCACGGTAAGTTTCAAGAGTACAAGAGATAGACGATCGTTTTGTCTCTCTCCTCAAAAGTTACCATGGAAACCTGTCAACAAAATTTTTCTGGTACGGTATTAGGGTACGGTCACACTATCTCATGCATCTACTGTGCATGCATGCAGAAACATTTGTCCGGTCACACTTCAACAAAATCTAGTAAATGTTTAGTAATTTTCTAGTTACAACCGAAATTTTATGAAAAATTACTAGAAAGTTACTAAACATTCACTAGATTTCGTTGAAGTGTGACCGGCCAAATGTTTCTGCATGCATGCACAATGCATGCATGAGATAGTGTGACCGTACCCTTAGACTCTGTCACGTGTGACGTCAGAGGCCTGGAGGGACAACAAACGGACGACACAATGTTATTCTTATGGGGAAGAAAATTAGTTTCCACTTTCATCAATTTTATTCATACTTTAAACATGGAAAACGCTTGTTGACATCTAATAAAATTAAAATGTGTGTTGATAATTAATTTTGTTAAATATTTGATTCAATTGCATTTATAGATTCTCTGAATTCGAGATAAAATATAAATTTTGAGGTTAGGGGTGTTTGTTTACTAACTTGAAATCTTTTATTGCTGTAGTAATTCCCACTTAAAATATATATTTTATATCTTTTTAATAACATGCATACTGGATATTGTTTAATAATGTTGTTAAAATGTAAAATGTGACGTTACCAAAACATTGATACCTATCGCGAACAAAAAGTTTGGTTTATGTTCCTCTTATCCTTGATTTCCAAGTTTACAATTTTTAATGCAAATGTTTCTCGACGGTGTCAATGCTTTGATGATGTCACTGCGCTTGCAAACCAAGCGTCTATCACGCAACGCAAACATTTAGGAACATATTGGAGAAAGGCCGCAAGGCCTTTCTCCAACCCACACAGCACAACATCTTACACCAGGCCTACAGCAGGCTTACATGTAAGGTTTGTAAGGTAACATCGTAAGCCCATAGTAGACTTACAGTAAACCTAAAATGTCCGCCTTACAGTAAGCTTACATGGTAGGGTCGAGGTAAGCTTACATGGTAGGGTCGAGGTAAGCTTACATGGTAGGGTCGAGGTAAGCTTACACGGTGAGGTCGAGGTAAGCTTACACGGTAAGGTCGAGGTAAGCTTACATGGTAGGGTCGAGGTAAGCTTACATGGTAGGGTCGAGGTAAGCTTACATGGTAGGGTCGAGGTAAGCTTACACGGTAAGGTCGAGGTAAGCTTATGAGTAAAGGCTGTGGTAAGGTTATTATTAAGTTGTAAGGTTGAGGTAAGGTTGTGGTAAGCTTACAAGGTAAGGCAAGTTATATTCAAATAATAATATTAATAATAAATAAATATTCAATAAAAAAATTTTTCTTTTGCCTTATTCTATTTTGGGAACCTATCATTTCGCAGAAAGTTTTGAAAATAAATTTGGGAGGAGTAGGATTCGAACCCGGGACCGAAGTATATACCTAACAACCTAACCAACTGAGCTAAACGGGGAACTGACAATGAGAAAAGTAATCTTGCTTTTAAGGAGTTGATTATCTTCTTGGTTCCACTTTAAAAGTAAGATTACTTTTCTCATTGTCAGTTCCCCGTTTAGCTCAGTTGGTTAGGTTGTTAGGTGTATACTTCGGTCCCGGGTTCGAATCCTACTCCTCCCAAATTTGTTTTCAAAACTTTCTGCGAAATGATAGGTTCCCAAAATAGAATAAGGCAAAAGAAAAATTTTTTTATTGAATATTTATTTATTATTAATATTATTATTTGAATATAACTTGCCTTACCTTGTAAGCTTACCACAACCTTACCTCAACCTTACAACTTAATAATAACCTTACCACAGCCTTTACTCATAAGCTTACCTCGACCTTACCGTGTAAGCTTACCTCGACCCTACCATGTAAGCTTACCTCGACCCTACCATGTAAGCTTACCTCGACCCTACCATGTAAGCTTACTGTAAGGCGGACATTTTTGGTTTACTGTAAGTCTACTATGGGCTTACGATGTTACCTTACAAACCTTACATGTAAGCCTGCTGTAGGCAGGGTTGCACAGTGACGCGTCACTCGAGGTTTTTGACGTATATTACGTAAAAAATGTAATATACGTAAAAAACCTGTAATAAATGTAAAAAAATATGGCGGCGGTCTGGCGATCAATAAAAAATATGTAAACAAATATTAGTATCACAGAAAAGCAACAAATTAATTATTTTAAAACTTTTAAAAAATAAGTATATGGATATGAATCCACAAAATCGAAAACGCCAAGCAATTCCTTGGCAAAGTTTAAAATTTTCACGCTTGAAAACTGATGAAAAAGGAGTAACCAATGCGAAATGTTTATTATGCGACAAAATAGTGCAAAACACTGGTTATGATCGTCTTTTAGGCCATACGTATGTAAACTTTATTATTAACAATCATTTTTAGATTATATGTGTTTCATCAAAAAAAATTTAGTTGCTGACAATCAACAACTTGAATATGATTAAATCCATGCAAAAATTACATAACCTATAATTTAAATAAAGTATACTTATTTCATATATTATTTTACTATATTTAAAATATATGAAATGAAATTCCTTCCAAAAAGAATTTCGCGGCCTTCCACCTCTACGCATTTTATTTTTCGCAATTTGCAATTGTGCCACTCAATTTTATTTTCAGGATCACGGAGTTTAAGCGGCCATTTTGAAAAAGTAAATTACGTAAAAAACTAAGCACGTAAATTACATACGTAATATACATGTAAAAAACCATGTAATTTACGTCAAGTATATTACGTACGCAACCCTGAATATACTTGACGTAAATTACATGGTTTTTTACATGTATATTACGTATGTAATTTACGTGCTTAGTTTTTTACGTAATTTACTTTTTCAAAATGGCCGCTTAAACTCCGTGATCCTGAAAATAAAATTGAGTGGCACAATTGCAAATTGCGAAAAATAAAATGCGTAGAGGTGGAAGGCCGCGAAATTCTTTTTGGAAGGAATTTCATTTCATATATTTTAAATATAGTAAAATAATATATGAAATAAGTATACTTTATTTAAATTATAGGTTATGTAATTTTTGCATGGATTTAATCATATTCAAGTTGTTGATTGTCAGCAACTAAATTTTTTTTGATGAAACACATATAATCTAAAAATGATTGTTAATAATAAAGTTTACATACGTATGGCCTAAAAGACGATCATAACCAGTGTTTTGCACTATTTTGTCGCATAATAAACATTTCGCATTGGTTACTCCTTTTTCATCAGTTTTCAAGCGTGAAAATTTTAAACTTTGCCAAGGAATTGCTTGGCGTTTTCGATTTTGTGGATTCATATCCATATACTTATTTTTTAAAAGTTTTAAAATAATTAATTTGTTGCTTTTCTGTGATACTAATATTTGTTTACATATTTTTTATTGATCGCCAGACCGCCGCCATATTTTTTTACATTTATTACAGGTTTTTTACGTATATTACATTTTTTACGTAATATACGTCAAAAACCTCGAGTGACGCGTCACTGTGCAACCCTGAGTATATTACGTACGCAACCCTGGCTGTAGGCCTAGTGTAAGATGTTGTGCTGTGTGGGAATAGGATCCTAAACTCTTGCGTTGCGTATGCATTGCGTCGGTTGCTATTGGCAACCAATGCTAAAATCAACGCGTCAGTCACGCAACGCAAAAGTTTAGATTCCTATTGGAGAAAGGCCTTTTAAGGCGCCGTCCCATGAAAGCATGAAACGACAGCGTGAAAGCGGAAGCATGAGAACGAAAGAGATAGTGAGATATCTTCATCTCTTTCGTTCTCATGCTGTGACCTAAAAGACTAGAAACAGGAGGTCAAACTACGGTGGTGGAGGTGAGTCAGATTGTGACAAAAAAAGAGGAGTAGAGTTTCTTCCTCCGATACCTAAAATTATTTTACTGCGTAGACAAACCTTGCTCTCTTCTGGCATTGCTTTTTTGAAGGCAAGGGCAAATCCGTTAAGGCCTAAGCACAACTGAGTCGGGTACGCAAGTCGGATACAGGATATGTAAGTTCCCGCAACTGTCTTTAATTGTGCGTTGAAAAACGGTTGCGCGAAACATTGGCGGATCCGTTTTTTCAACGCACAATTAAAGACAGTTTCGGGAACTTACATATCCCGTATCCAACTTGCGTACCCGACTTAGTTGTGCTTAGGCCATTATGTATACGTTTTGTGATTATAGGAGCGGGGCTGTAGGGGTAAGGTACGAAAGCCTGTACGGCTAACGAGCGTCTCGGACGCAAGTGGCGGTGTTTCGTACCACAAGTGGCACGAAGTCTGTCCAACTTGTGGCAAGTTCGTTAGTTCGTGCCACTTGTTGTTTTGAAGGGTCATTCACAAATATAACAATTCCGTTGGATCCTGTTGCTGTCTATTTCGTCAGTGCTTTTCATTTCAAGTATAATTTCATCCGGACAAGTCCGTTTACTGTTTTTGAATAAAAATGAATTTGTTATTTTTTAATTGAAAATACATGTAAAAGATTACATTTCAGTGTAAACAAATGATATTGACATCTTTATTAATCTTAAATATTCATAAAAATATACTTTTGATTTTAAAAAATAAAATCCTCTTCATGTATTTTAAATTAAAAAATGACAACATAACCAAAAAATCTTATTTTTATTCTAAACTAAGAAAAATTAAAAAATCTAAGAAAAAACTTTCGCTTAATTCTTAGTGGAATCCTTAGTTTATTAATATGTATATTTACGTTTGGAAGGAGTATTTATGTGTGAACTATAAAAAGTTTGTTCGATGACATTTACTAATATGCTAATATTACTAATATCTTATAAAATTTATTTCTTCTTCTTCACATGAAATTGAAATGGAAAGCACTGACGAAATAGATAGCAACAGGATCCAACGGAATTGTCATATTTGTGAATGACCCTTCAAAAAATCCACTTTCCACAAGTGGCACGAACTAACGAACTTGCCACAAGTTGGACGGACTTCGTACCACTTGTGGTACGAAACACCGCCACTTGCGTCCGAGACGCTCGTGAGCCGTACAGGCTTCCGTAGAAGCCGGATGCGCAGTAGATTTCCGCGCAAGAAACTCGTCGACGTTAAGCCCATTTAGAATGTCAACTTTTGACTCACTGCACCCTTTGTAGAAACAGGCAAGTTTGATCTTCTCTTTCTAGTCTTCTTGGCTGTGACCGTACCCTTATATATATATATATATATATCATTAATATGTGTGAGTAGCCCAAACCTCCCAAACTATTGTTTGTAGAAAAAAGAGAAGTAGAAATACAATGGTATTTAGAGAAATAAATTTTAGAATTGTAAAACCAAATTTAAATAAAATGATGATAAATTGGTTTTTATTAATTATATGTACAATTAATGATGAACATATATACTGTATACAATGTCAATAAAAAATGTGGAAAGTTTTTTTTTTTTTTTTTTTTTTTGATATTGTTATCATGTATATACGTTATGAATTGAATAACACTTTATTTATTTTTTAAATTCGTTTACATTAATACATAGATGTTACGTAATGAAGAAACACTGATAAATATTTACATTAAGCTGTGAAGAATCAGATTTAGTTACTCTGAAATCGCTTTCTGAAGAGGTTAGTTATCAATTGTTCTTGTAATACTACTTATTTCTCTTTCTCTATTTATTTATAGCTATATATATATATTTTTATCATAGATTTATTACAAATGTGCTAATATTATTTTCTATAATTTTTAAATTGTTTAGAATATTTCATCTAATGGTTATATCGAAGAAGCGATTTTAAAAATTTAATAAAACATTTTTTAAATTACTATTTACTTCATAAAGTTTGTTATTGCAAATAATAGAAATGTCAAGCGCAAAATGGAACGTTTTGGTGACGGGGGGTGCTGGTTATATTGGGTCTCACACTGTTTTGGAACTTCTTAATTCGGATTTTCAGGTGGTGGTAATAGACAACCTTAGCAATTCTTTTAAAGGTGAGATAAATACTGGAACTTTAAAATGAAGCAAGCTTATTTGGAAAAATAGAATTTATTTAAATATTTAAAGTTTCTAGGACTATAATCATTAATATTATAATCTTTTATTAATTTATTAAAACTTGATACATACTAATATTTTATAGTTGCCAAATAACAATCTAAATAAAAAAAATTAAAGACTATTTTATGTTCAATTGACGTGGAATTTGCCAACAAAGCAAACATTACGTATGTAGATATTGGCTTTCAATTGAGCACTATTGTTGTTGGAAAACGTCCTTCTGTTATTATTTGAGTTTTATTATTACGTATTTAACCGTATTCTTTATCTCTAATTTTTGTAAAGTTCTAACATTTTTTTAAGTGCAAGTTGTAAAATAATTTGTGACTAACATGCGCATATGTTAGAGATTTGTTATCTATTATTTGAAATCGTTATTTCGTAGATAATAGCATTCTTTAGATGTTTTAATTTAGAAATATTTTTCACGGTAATGATGTTAGATTAAAAAGTTTTATTTTCTGTCCTGTTGATTTAGATAAAGCTGTGGAGAAACCGGAATGCCTTTTGCGTATTGAGAAATTAACTAAAAAACAAGTGACATTTATAAATTGTGATATTACAGACAAACACAATTTAAACGAAATTTTTAAGAAGGTAGTTAAAATAAAGTACTGCGATGTAATAAAAGAAATAATTATTGTACAACCTTTGTTGATTTCAGTATAATTTTCATTGTGTAATTCATTTTGCCGCCCTGAAAGCAGTGGGAGAATCTTGTGAAATTCCTTTGGAATATTATAAAATCAATGTTGGTGGAACACTAAATTTGTTAGAAGTGATGAATGAAAATTGTGTTAAATGTTTGATTTATTCAAGCAGTGCTACTATTTATGGTGTACCTGAAAAATTACCTCTAGTCGAAAACATGAAAATAGGAGACTGCACTAATCCATATGGAAAAACTAAGTTTGTAGTAGAAGAAATTTTACAAGATCTCTGCAACTCTAATAAGGTTTTCTAATATTTTTTCTAAAACCTTCAGATATTTTTTATTTATTAATCCAAGAGTTGTCTTTAAAGTAATGTTTTAATTTCTTGTAGACATGGTCCGTTATATCATTAAGGTACTTCAACCCAGTTGGTGCTCATCCTTCGGGAATTATAGGAGAAGATCCAAATGGAATACCAAATAATCTTATGCCTTACATTGCTCAAGTCGCTGTTGGAAAAAGGGATACCCTTTACGTTTATGGCGATGATTATGATACCCCTGATGGAACTGGTAAGTTCTGATATGTCAAAAATGAAAAAATTAACATACTTTTATTACGCAAAATTATTATTTCATGTGTATTTATGGATAGGAGTACGAGACTACATCCATATTATGGATTTAGCAAGTGGTCACGTTAAAGCTCTTATATATTTAAAAGAAAAAGAATGTCAACGTTTTATGGCAATAAACTTAGGCACCGGAAAAGGCTATTCTGTTTTGGAAATTATTCGAGCCTTTGAAAACGCTTCAGGCAAAAAAATTTCTTACAGAATTGTGGAACGTAGACCTGGAGATATTTCTGCTAGTTATGCAGATGCAAGTTTGGCAAACTCGGAATTACACTGGCACGCTACAAGAAACATTAACGATATGTGTTAGTTAATTGCTAGAAATTTAAAAACTAACCTATCAATAAGTTCTTTGGTAATTATTATTTACTTAGACTTTGTCTCTTCCAGGTACTGACACATGGAATTGGCAACAGAATAATCCAAATGGTTACAAGACTATAGAATCGAAATTTTAATTTAATCCTAAAATAGAGCATTTAAACCACGGTGGTTTTCAGTTACCAAAGGAAAAACCAAATCAAACAAAAAGACTTACGTGCAGAATTAATTGCTTCATAATTTTACGTCATTCAACTTTGCATTTATAAAAAGATTCCTCTCACTATTTTGATAATAACAAATAATCGCGTTGTTGCAGTATTACAATAGAAACACTTTTACGAATAGTCCAATATACTACAAATGTGGAAAGCCAGTAATTATTTTATGAGTGCCAAAGTTCATTTCTGCAGTAACATTCACTCTCATTGAGTGCATTCCTTTTTCACGAGTGGCATTACTATGTTTTTCCAATTTTCGAAAGAAGGTCCACTTGATTTATATTATTATTTTTTAAATTAAAAAAACTTAACATTCCATTCAATAATCATAACAATATATCGCTGCTCGAATAGCAATCATCGTTATTGTGGAATGAAAATGGCAATGTCTTCAAATTATTTCAAGGTGAAATTTGCATTCCAGGAGATGATCATGCAGCGTACAAAAATTATAGATATGCCATATTTGCGAGTGTTTTTGTATTAAGCTTAAGCACAAAAATAAAGCTGATAAATATACATATTAGCTGTATGTTAACTAATATTAACTGCTATCCCTATCTAATAACAATCGATCTTTTCTCCATGCAGTGCGCATGGGTTTCTTAACATTCTTCCAATAAATTTTTCCTAATTTATAGATAAGTAATAATAAGTTTAGAATTCCATCGCGATCAATTATAATTAACGGAAACGATTATACATACACGAAGAAAAACTAATTGTTTCAATTAAAAACGAATTGCTAATAAACATACAATTTTAATGTCAGGGAAAAAAAGATTTGTTGCAACAAACCATTTGTGTTAGATCTGAATATAATCCGGTCTTCAATTTAACAATCCTTTCCAGCGTGTAAATTACGATTGTTTGCATAAATTTTAAGCACTTTAAAAATAGCTGCCAATTCGTTTACTTAATTTTAAGAATTTTTTTCGCAAAATCTGAAAAATAGTATGTGTCCTGAATTTTTTAAATATCTTCCTCAAATGAAATTGTCGAACCTAAGTGTATTAGAATTTTATTTTTAAAGAACTATTTAATGCATTAACAAAAAGCGACATAAATTTAAAATAATAAATAAAATCCTAATATACTTAGGTTCGAAAATTTAATTTGAGTGCGGGATATTTAAAAAATTAGACTTTATCCCATATACCTATGTAGTTCCAATATAAAATTGTGCACCAGATAATCGCCATCTTGGATTTTCCCCCACCCAACTTAAACTACTTAATGCCAAATAGCAGAAATGTGGTTCCAGAATAGGTGCAAGTCCAAGTGCCAATCTCATGAGTGCGAAAGAGATAGGCAGTCTATGAGTGCTACGACAACTCTCTTATAGGTCGAAAAAAGCACGCTTATATAAAATGCTTAATAATAAGAAAAAGTTAATAAAACAATATAAAAATATTTTCACTATTGAATTTATTTTTTTTTGTTAATTATATTGCTTCCTAATAAAAAAATATTAATTTACTTAATGTACTTAAGTATGTAAAAAAAATAATAATAATAGGATATTAATAATTTTATTATGTTTATATCATTATTGTTATTATTTATTTATAAAATATATAATCTATTATTATTATTATCAATTTAATATACAATAATAAAACAACTAATCCCTCCAAGATGCGATTTTTTAAATTTATTTACTTAACGAAAAATGTTGGGCCTAATCCCAGACATTGGGCCCAACATTTATGTCATTTTTACTACATGTCTGAACGTAGAATTTCATGGGGATTACGAATTTGATACTGAAAATTAATGGTCTCATTTAAGAAAACCATTTTTTCATTGTAGGGCCCAACATTGGGCTACTGGCCCAATTTTTTGGTATCAAATATGTAGATCTTTTTGTTTGGAACAACTTTTATCTTGAACATTTTTTACGAAAATCCGTACTTTTCGAGATATTTGCAAGTTTTCATACTTTTGGAACACCCTGTATATATTTTTACAAAAATTCGATTCATTTTTTTGAAATATATAGATGTAATACATTCATAGATAATTAATTAATAATAATTTATTGAAAATATTGATAATAATAATAAATAATATATTAATTAATTAATTAATATTATATTGATGATAATAATAATAGATTATAAATATTTTATTTAAAAAATAATTACAATAATGATATAAATATAATAAAATTATTATTATTATTAAATACTTAAGTATATTAAGGAAGTTAGTATTTTTTTATTAGGCAGCAATATAATTAACAAAAAAAAATAAATTCAGTAGTGGAAATATTTTTATATTGGTTTTCTTATTTTTAAGCATTTTATATGAACGCACTTTTTTCGACCTATTAGGCTGCAGTCCCATGGCAGCGTTTTGCGTTGCGTTTTGTCACTAGACCATGAGTGTAAAAGAGATGCAGATATATGTTTGCTATGTTTACACTCAGGGTCTAGTGACAAAACGCAACGCAAAACGCTGCCATGGGACTGCAGCCTTAGGTTATTCAAGTTGGGTGTGGGAAAGCCAAGAATCCAAGATGGATGATGGCTGGTGCACAAACATCCGGCCTATCAGCCTATCAGCATTCTGATGTTTGTGCACCAGCCATCATCCATCTTGGCTTTCCCACACCCAACTTGAATAACCTCATAAGAGAGTTGTCGTAGCGCAAGCGCAGTAGCGTTTAGGTAAGGTCATTGGCAACTCTGCTCAAAAGTCGTTCGCGAACTTGGTTCATGAGATAGAAAAGGACACAAATATATCTCTGTACTTTTCTAACGCATGCATCTTGTTCGCGAACGACATTCGCAAAGCTATTGTGCGTTGGTCCTAATGTTTTAACGAAAAAATCACTTCACTAGAGCAGGGTGTGGTAGTTGTCGAGAATTATGACAAATGGCGTGTAGTGACAAATGGAAAGCAAGGCCGTTTTTATTAATTGGGATTTTTAGCGCATACTTGATAAAGTGTATACTCGGGAAGTATGCAGTGTCCTGGTTTTTCCGTTTTAAGGCACTTGTATACCTTACCGATGCGGGGTATACTTGCGTCGTGTACCATTGGAGTAAAAGAGACAGAAATATCTTTTGTCTCTTTTACTCCAATGGTATACGACAGAAGTATACTCGGGATCGGTGAGGTATACAAGCACCTTTATGTTCCTCTTATCCCTGAGTTCCAACTTACCAATTTTTAATGCACACGTGTTTCGCGACGGCTTTTAATAATTTTAATTGAATTAAAGAACAATTAATGAACAAAATATTTATAATTAAAAAATTCAGTGTCTTAAAATCATAAACCAAACTTTTTATCGCGATTGATATCAATGCTGCTTTAATGACGTCACTGCGCTTGCGAATCATCGCGTCAGTCACTCAACGCAAACATTTAGGAACATATTGGAAAAAGGCCTTTATAGGGAGCATCAATATGTGTTCTATCTCCGTATTTTACGCAAGCTTTAACGTATGTTTTGATGCGTGCTTTGCTTTTAATGCAAACACAGTATAATTATTTTATTGTTATTCCCGTGTTTTTTTTTATAAGTGAAATGGCATGAAATGTAATATTATCTGATAGTATAATTAGACAATTCTTATATTCTTGATAGATTTTATCGAACGATTGGATTTTAAATGTGCTTTCATATTATTATATTGTATATATTATTTCGTACTATTTTATTTTGTTTTTAACAAAAGGACCATATACATTAACCTCAAACCATCATTCAAAAGCACATTTAAAACCCAATCGTCAGAATAAGCTCTCCTGTTTTGGTCAAAAACATGTAAAATTGTAGCTTGTTTCACGTGCATCTCTTAATTGCAATGTTTTAACCAATCAGAATCAATGAAACTAAACTAATTTTATAAACAGGTTGAGAACATTTTCGTGCTCGCTGAGCGTTCATAGCGAGAATCTGGAAAACGACTATTTCAAAACCAATCCATTGTTGAATCAGCTTTAAGAATGTTACTAACTTCACTCTTGAATACGTGCAAAAAAATTTACAATATTTTAAGTAATATAATTGTTACTTAAATCTTGATTTGTTGAAGTCACCAAACTGTAGAAGAAAAGGAAAAAAAACTTATATTAGAAGGAGGAAAAGTATATATAAATTATTAATGTCAATAACAATTATTACAATAAAGTAATAATGTTCTCTTTAATACTGCTGAACAACCGGCGAAAAAATTTCTTGTGTAAGGTAGGTCAGAAATTTATTTTTGCAATACTGGAGGTTAACATTCATGCTGGGAGTGGCATGCAGGTAGGTGTTAAAAATGAGGTTATGTCAGCTCTTTTTTTGTCAAGTAAGTAAAATCTAATTACATACTTCTTAATTATTAAAATAGTATAAGATTAAAAATGAGTTTACAATCATTCAATTTGATTTTTCCTTTAATGTAAATTTTTGTTTAAGATTAATATCAATTAGTTAATTTTTACTCTTTTTTGTCAGTTTTATTTAGTAAAAAATATCTTAAAAATATTAAAAATTTAACGGTAGAAACGAAAAATAAAAATTACTTGATACTGATTTCATTTAAGGAGGCATGAAGTCAAAAGGTCGAAAAAATAAAAATTTGTCTCCAACCTTTTATAACATAAACGAGTGAAATAATTTTATTCAGAAACTTTTGCTCGCCATTTCAAATAACATTTGAAGAAGAATATTTGGTAATTTTTTTTAATAGAAAAATAATAATTATAGTAATTATGAATATTTTACTAAAATAAAAACCATGTGGCAAATTCTATTATATCTATACTATCCAAAGTAAAAACCTAGTAAGTCGCTTTTCCGTAAGGGTAAAAATCGTTTGATCGGATCTATCGACTTTCGAACTTATTTATTTAATAATTTCAATAAATTTGTACCTGCGGCTTTTGTTGGGAATATTAATTTTGGATACGAGTATTTTTTACAAAAGATTTAATTTAATTATTGACGATAAAGTTTAATTTAGAAACCTTTAATAGTTCAAAAGTTCCTCTTCAAATCTTACAACTAACAATTTGTAACTCATAGATAGAATTAAGTGGTTTGTGAATTATGAGTTACTAGTTGCAAATTATAAGACCGGACAAGGACTTTTATAAGATTGAAGCTGAAGCATCTCACACACATTATATTTTTGAACCATTACCCAAATTTACAGGAAGTTAACGCTGATAAGTTCAGAAGTTAACATTGTTAACTTCACAGAAGTTTTAAATGTCCTCAGAGTTGTAATTTTATACAAAATTTTTATGGTAAACTTGTGAAGGTATGGATGTAATAAAATTGAAAAAAAAATTTTTTTCAATTTTGAACTTATCAGAAAAAACATCTTGCAAAATTTATGCAAACTTATTAAAAAAAACATTCAGCAAATTTAGCTTAACAAATTCCAGCAAATTAACAGTGTTAACTTAAACTCTGAGGACATTTTAAACTTCTGGAAAGTTAACGGGAAGTTAACAGTGTTAATCTTCGAACTTATGGCTGTTAACTTCCTGCAAACTTCAGTGCTATCTGGGTAAAGGTCT